TGATCACATTGGTGGTTTGCTCGAAGTGGTCCGTTGTCGTTCTAGCTGCCGTGGTCGCCACTGTTTTGAAGTTGGCCGGAGACGATGCTTGGAAGCTTTATTTCACCAGTGCCTATGAACTAGTAGCGACAGACTTTTATAGCGACAGAATTCTGACAAGAAAAACATTTTTCCAATATTCAAGGCAATTTCGAGCTTCGAGGGAAAATATCACTTGACTCACCCGGGAATTAATCAGCTAAGGAATTTCGAGATGAAGAATGAATCCCCAAAAAGATGATTCAGAGAAACTTGAGTCAAGCAAGGCATTTCTATATTGATATTTGAGTAAGATTTCTGTAGCGATACAAAACGATACAGAAAGACTCCCAACAGCAGAAAACTCAGTGCGATTTGTCATGGTGTATTCTAGGACAAAATCGATGGAGAAGGCTAACCAGTAGTATAACAGGGATAAGAAAGAGAAGAAGTTCCCAAAGAGTGAAGAACGAGGTGATACCGTTCACAACTGACATGAATTTGTCTTTAGTCTTTTCAACAAGCTCATTCACGAAAGATATATCACTTGCTACGTTTCTCTGGATGTTTGATGTGCCGTTGTCCGGAGAGATAATCCTTTCGTTGACGAAAGCCAGAGATCCTTTGATCGTGAAGTTCACGGTCCCTCCAGGGCAGGCAGCGGTGCAATATGCGGTCACTGTTGGAGAGTCGAACATCAGGAAAATTGTGTTCAGGAAGCCAGCCTCTGTACATCTGATGACGTGTGAGTGTTGATCACATTTGACTTGAGCAAGCACTTCGTCGTTGTCGCTGGTGCACGATAGTGTTAATGAGGCGCCCGTAGTGCAACTGTAGCATCCGGATAGGTCGCTTGATTCCACTTGACAACGGCTGATGTGTTTCACTGACGTTATTCGGAGATTTTCTGCGACTATTTGAACTTTTATGGCAGAGCCGACATTTGTCCTTGCGTAGAACTTCTTGTTGGATTCGAAGATGATGAAGTTTTTCGATATTTGTGGAAGTGGTTGAGCAGCCATGCGATCACGTATATTTCCATTGCTGCAGGTACAGGTCGTACTATATACAGTAGTGGTGCAAGTGCATGTATTACGCGAGAAGTAGCAGTTGAATTGTTCCGCTGCGTGATATGAAGAGCACTGCAGTTGTCCTACAGAATGACTCTGTAATTGTCCCGCGTAAGCTGGATTGATTATGGAGGTTCGCTCTCCATTGGTGACGAAGGTAGATGACAGTATAGGAAGTTGTGGGACAATTGTTCCGATCAACGAGAAGTGGATATTGTTCCAAGTGTTCGTGCGGCCTGGGAGAAGGTGTATTGTAGTAGCAGCAGTTGTTCCATCTTCTTGCTGTAGAGTAACTTCTGCGTCTACTTCAAGTTCCCAACTTGGGCATTGGAAGACGGTATAAATGGTCGATGATGTTGGAGTAGCGTAGAGCCGATGGAAGAGGCAGCTAGGTGTAGAGAAGAAACAGCCATCGCAAGACAAACCACCACAGCTGGAAGAACAAGATGTGTATCCTGGACTATCGTTGGCGACTTCGGAAAATTCCTTCAATTTGTCAGTTTCCTTGATTTCGTGGCATTGGTCTGCGTGACAGCTACCGGCGCGGTGACAGCGGTGGACTGATTCTGACACAATTTTGTGGTCACGAGTGTAAAATTCATCTTTCCTGTTGCATCGAAACTTGATTCCTTCTGGTTTGATTGTAAGCATTCCCATCGGAAGATTTTGTGGATCGTTGAGAGTGAGGCAAGTTTGCTGCTGCAAAGGTTGGAGCGTTATTACCGTCGCATGGTTGAAGGTGCAAGTTTCCTCGTCCTTTTTTATTGTGCAGACTTCTTCGCCTGTTGTCATGGCGACTGTTTCTGAGCATCCTTTTGTCGTACTTGAGTGAAAGAGAATGAGGATGGTGCAGGCCAGAAATGTTCGTTGTCGATTCCTTTTTCGTCGATTAGTATATCTCGGCAAGCGAGGTTGGCGATAGCGGTTAGGTGAAACGCGAATAATGGACAAGAGCTTTCGTAGCATGATCCATAGTATGCGGAAGATGAAGCGTAGTATTCGGTTAGGTGAAACGCGAATAATGGACAAGAGCTTTCGTAGCATGATCCATAGTATGCGGAAGATGAAGCGTAGTATTCGGAGAAGAATGTACACGGTTGGTGCTATGGTAAGGAGCAGACCGGCAGCGAAGAGCATCATGAGATAGTGCTTGTAATTCCAGCATTGAGGGTTGTAGAGTCTTTCCCAACAAATGTAGCATAGAAGGGTCTCACAGATGGTATGAGCCTTGCAGGTAAGTTCGGATTCGCTGTACAGCTTGCCATTATTCCATATCTTGATGGATACGAGGTGGTCGTACATTATCAGCAAGTTTGGGAAGGATACTGTCTGGGAAGTAAAATTCCTCAGAAAAACGCAGTAATTGTGGATGCATAACTCTGCGCCTTCGATTACGTTGTCACTTCTTAAGAAGACTCCTCCAACTGTGCACCTTTGTTCAGTGAAATGGACACTGACGCGTTGTTGCTTTTCTTCTGCGTCGATTGCTCGGTATCCGAAAAACGACTTTGTCACCGTTCCCCATGCTTTGATTGGTAAGGTTGTTGATGATTCACTGTCGTTGATGACGAGCATCGCCAACGGATTGCCATATGAGCAGAACAGTCTAGCGTTCGGCGTGCACTTGTGTTTCGCACAGAAGCGTGAAGTTCCAGTGATCGATCGCCTGGGCAGTCGTTTCCATCCTTTTTTGTCGATACACGTGAAGTCTCTGTCGTCTATATATTCTTTGATTTGAATTGTCAATTGCTTTACCAGAAGAATGTTGTCGTCGAATAGTTGGATTTGATGAAAGTTTCCTATTTGCCGTTTTTGATCGCATTGTCGAGACTTTTCGAAAGAGCATACTTGATATGGTTGGTAGCTCCTTAGGCTTTGGGGAATCAAGGGCAATTCGGACAAGGTAGTCCTGTCTGATTCACTATATGAGCAGGAAGTGGCCCACTTTGGGCATTCACAGGATTCACCACAAAGAGTTGTGTTTGGTTTCATTGGAAATTCTGATCTTATGGCTCCAAGTGGACAGGATACAGGAAACCAACAAAATTTTTCTGCATCAGTATCGTTGTGTAGTGCGATGGCTATGCCTTCCTTTGCACAGTTGGTTGCGTAGAGTATCGTCTTGGTGGTAGATATAGTTGCGGGGCACCGTGTGTTTGTAGCAAGGGCAACTTGGCAGAATAGGATGATGCTGACGCATGTAGTGAGCGCATTGGCTTGATGACGGGCTTTTGATCTAGTTGTCATGGGATGTCTTGATCCAGTTCTTCTCTCGTGCCTTCCATTGTTGCTGGTTCTGTAATCATTTTCCTGAGTTTGAGGTTTTGATGAATCCGTCGTTGTGTCGAGATTGGTGTCGCTGATAGAAGAAATTTCGAATTTGTAGACAAGATTAAGAGGCCGGGTGATAATTTTCTTTGACGGCAGTCGTATTTCCACAGATCGTTTGTAATCGTCCTTTGATCCAACGATTCTCCCTGTTTTCCATTGACCTTTGTTGAGTGTGGCATCGTGAATCAGTACGATATCTCCTAGATGGGGTTCTTCCTTTTGGATAGATCGAGGTGTTCTGTGGGTGGTTTTGTATTGTTCTCTTAGCGAAGTGAGATACTCCGTTGACCATCGTTTCCAAAAGGTGGCAAGGGTTTGGCAGGTGCGGTGCCACCTCGTTATGAGTTTTTCTTGGGTATTTTCCAGCGGTAGCCATTCATCAGTAGGATTGTCCGCAGGTTGTGGTCCGCAAAGAAGAGCAGATGGTCGCAAGAAATCGACGGGGCGTAGAGGGATATGATCGAGATCATCGGTAGTATACGTCAAGGGTCTCGTATTGACGATCGCTTCTGCTTCCTTTGCTATCGTTATGATGTCAGGCAAGTGTAGTATGTTGTTTCCAATAGCATGCCTGAACGACTTCTTGAAGAGATCGATCATTTTTTCGTAGAGTCCTCCTTGCCACGGGCTTAGACTTGGTATGAATTTGATGCGGATCCTTTTTTGCGTGCAGTAGTCGATAATATCATTTTCGATGGTCGTACTTGGAAGTGAAGAGTAGCATTCGGCCAGTTTCTTGAACGAGAGTGCATTGTCGCAAATTATCCACGTGGGGCATCCAATGGTTGCGATAAATCGACGTAGGACGTGAAGCACTGAGTCAGTTGTCATGTCGAGAACGACGTCAACGTATATAGCGCGTGAGTTGAGGCACGTGAAGAGTAACATCCAGTACTTTTCCGTTGTGTTGTAGTCTGATTTGTATTGCATGGGTCCGAAGAAGTCCATTCCCATCTTTTGGAATGGGTACTGAGGAGGCGTAACGCGTTGTTTTGGATGAGGAGGGAAGGGGGGTAGCGTGAACGGCTTCGCGTTGTATCTTTTGCAGTGGTAGCAATGATTTTGTATCGTCTTTCTTACTGTGGACCTTCCTTTAGGGATCCAGAACTTCTGGCGCAGTTCTGTCAGCGTGTGATTGATCCCGCAATGATTGTTCTTTGTGTGGATGTCCAATATGATGAGCGTAGTGATGTGGTGTTTGCTGGGGAGGAAGATCGGCGTGCGTGTTTCTTGAGGGAGAGTAGCGTTGTTGATGCGGCCTGTTGATACCCATAATAAATTTGTTACGGACTGGAATAAGTGAAGTTGTTCCTTTTGATCATCGGTTGGTGGTACTTCATACTGCGCTCGACGTAGGAGGATGACTTCCGCCTTTTGAATTAGTAGGACAGGGTTGGTTCCGAAAATTGAGGCGGCCGTTTTGGATTTCTTCGAGAGAAAACGTAGAACCGTTGTCATAGTATTGAGTAAAGTGGTCCATCTGCTGAATCTTGTAGAATCGATGACCTGCTCGGAAACGTAGCCATCATATTGGGTGTTATTTGTAGCAACAGCCGTGAAAGCACTTTCGACATCATTTTGATCTTCGGTGGATAGCAGACTCATGGATGTCTGGGATTGTGTCCACTGTGCTTTGTCTTGTTTGAGAAATGAAGGTCCAGTCCACCATAGTGGCAGCTCTTGAAGTTCGGCTAATGTGGCTCCGCGCGTCCCAATATCTGCTGGGTTACAGTCCGTGGAGATGTAGTTGATGCTGACGTCAGCGGTGTGTTCCTTAATGGTCTTGACGCGGTTGCGAACGAATATTGGAACTTGTTTATCAGTTTCTGTCCATGCCAAGGCGACTGTGCTGTCGGTCCATAGGTATTTTTCCTCGAATGAGATATCCATTTGCTTTGTAATGTAGGTGAGGAGTTTTGCTCCGACCGCCAGTGCGGACAACTCCAAACGCGGAATGGTTACGGATTGGTGAAGTGGAGCTAGTCGAGTTTTTGCCATTATGAGAGAGACATGAGTTGTGGAATCTTCTCTATGTTGGACTATGTAGGCAACAGCACAATAAGCATGTGCAGAGGCATCGACGAAGACATGAAGATCGTGAGTGGCAGAGCTGTCGTCACTATCGGGGAAAAATTGACGGTTGAATGTTAGAGCGGGTGTGTTCCAGGATTCCATAATTTTTATCCACTGTGACTGTTGTTCACTGGAGAGGAGATCGTCCCAGCCCTGGTTCATTATCCATAGGGACTGCAGAAACCGTTTCCCCAGCAGGGTCGTTGGGGCGAGAAACCCTAATGGATCGTAGATGCTGGCAATTTCCTTGAGTACTTTTCTTTTAGTCCATGTCGGTGAATTTGCAGAGTATGTCTTCTTGGGAGGTAACTGGATGGCTATAGAATCGGTTGTGATGTCCCATTTGAGTCCGAGAAGTTTTTGCTTTGAAGAAATAGTTCCGTTTCCATTGGATTCGAAGAAGTCGTTAAGATCTTTGCAGTTGCTTGCATACTCGCGGAGATTCATTCCTGCTTTTTGGAAAAGGTTTCTCGATGCATGGTAGAAGTTTTTTCCTTCCGAAATGTTTTTCACGCCGTGAAATACATTATCCACGTAGGTATTACGCAGTAGATTTGATGACAAGGGCGTCTGCTGGGTTGTGAGGTGGTGATGGATAGTTCCCGATAAAAGGAATGGGGAACAGATTAATCCAAAAGGTACGCGAGTGAATCGATAAGTGATGATGTTATTAGGAGAAGGTGGTTTTGTGGGGTCCTTCATCCATAGAAAGCGCGTAAAATTTCTGGAGTCCTGGTGCAGTCCAACCATTAGGAAGGCTTTCTCGATATCGCTACTGATGAGAATCTTCGGGAATCGGCAGCGTATCAAAATACCTGTGAGGTCGGGGAGGAGCACAGGGCCTCTGTGCAACATTTCGTTGATACTCACATTTCCTTTGCGTTTTGCCGAGCCATCGAATACACATCGTAGTTTGGTCTCGTTCTCATCCTTTTTCAAAACTCCGTGGTGAGAAAGGTAATGGCAGGGAGACTGCAGATCGCGTTCTGGAACCTCTTCTATTATGCCTTTCCGAAGTTGATCCATGATTATATCGTGATATTTCTTCATGTAGGTCGGATTTTGCCTCAATGATTGTTGTAAGGTGAGTAACCTACAGTATGCCATCGGATAGTTGTCGGGTAGGTGACAAGGATCTGATTTAAATGGTAGTTTCACGGTATATCTTCCATCTTTGTTGTCGTACGAGATGTTGTCGTTAAAAAATTGAAGACATACGTCATCGTCCTTCTGGTTTGGGTTGTCTATGATCCCAACTGATTCCAGAGTCCAAAACTTGCGCACAAGCTCCGTTAGAATGTCGTAATTAGCAGGATGTTCCATGCTGTCATCAGATAGGACTGAAACGAAAGCGTTGGCGTTCTTGAAGTCAAAGCATTTACCGGTTAAAATGTCGCCGAGGTTGGTGTGAAGTAGTCGGAAACCATTCGAAAATGTTTCGTATGAGAAATCCTTGCTGAGCACAATGTCCCAGAAGTAATCGTTTCCAATGAGGAGGGATGCTCGGGCGGTAAATATCTTGACGATAGTCCCTTCGTTCGTTTTCTCCTGTTGGGCGAACTTTAGGTTTCCTGTCAGCGTAGGCAACGATTTGACCATTAGCTTTTGTGTTCCGGTTTTTGTCCGAATGCCGATCTCGTGATTGTTGGAAATGAGCTGGAGTGGTGTACTTGTCCCGAACGTGGATATCGATACGTATTCAGGTCTGATATTCGTCAGATTTAGAATTTTCGCAACATCGTCACATATGTATGAATGGCTGGAGCCGGAGTCCAGGAATGCTGTCACGTCCATGCTTCGAGATGGGTCGAGAGGATTGAAGATGGTGGCTTTTGTGCACATGAGCGTGGTTGCGGAGGAGATGGTAGTGATTGTTGAAGAGTTGGAAGTAGTCATGGTTGCGCCATTTTCTTTCTCACGTTCGTCAGGAACTTCTTTTTCCTCGTTGCTGGCGGCCACATGCGTGAAGTGTCGACGGTTTGTTGATGGTCGGTAATCCGAATGTGGTCGAGATATGGGATTATTCATCGAGAGCTCTGTTTGCTTTCTGTCTTGATTGAAGCATAGAGATGAATTGTGGCGCTTTGAGCAGAATTTGCAGACGCGTTTTGATGGACAGTTTTTCGTTGAGTGTCGATTAGATAAGCAGTTGAAACATAAACGATGTTCTCTCACGTATCTGATTCGAAGCTGAGGCGTGGCAAACATGTTGCAGTTGACTGAGAAGTGTTGGCTCGACCTTACAGAATTGGCACGGCTTTGGCTGCTTTCTGGTACCGCGGTATCCAAACGTTGCAGTTTTCCTCCTTGGAGTTTTTGAAGAGGCATGAAATGTATGGTAGTGATCCTGTTCGGCCACTGAGCGTATATGGGACGACATTTCGGATAATGTTGTGTCCTTCCGAACAATATCCGTCAGGAGATTAAGCAACTCACTCGGTGATAGATTGTGAGAGTTCGACGTTCTATCGTAAATTTGGCTTCTTACGCGTAGAGGAAGTTTGTTGAAGAGGATCGCTCCCAATCCAGTTTCGTTCGAGTCATTGTTCCCATCTGTGAACTGTCGTACGAGCGCAAACATTCGATTGTAGAGATTGTGAAGATTGCGTCCTTCGGGATCGCAGGTGGGAAGATCGGCCAATCTTGAATAAAGTATGTGCTTGATTGTTACCTTGTCGTCATAATGTGTCTTCAGGATGTCCATAGCGATCTTGTAATTCTCGGACGTCAGCGATAGTCCTTGTATGGAATTCAGAGCCGCTCCTCGTAAGCATGACTTCAACAGCGAAAATTTGGTCGTGTTGTCGAGTTCTTCCTTGTTTCCGACCAGAGTTGCGAAGCGAGACGAAAATTCAGGGAATTCGAGTATGTTCCCATCGAATGTAGGTAGTTCCATTTTGCTCAGTATTGATGCGTCGACAAAATTGATGAGTGACGTATTGCAAGGAGTGATGATGGCCTGTTGAGTCACATTGGATGGATTCGGTCTATCGACGAGTGGATTGTCGTAATTGCTGGCTTTAGGATTGAGTTGATCATCTGTGTTGTCTGAAGAGCCAGAAGAGATACTGATGTTACGTTTATGGAATTCAGCTTCCAGATCGTCGAGAAGGAGGTCGAGGTTTTCTAATTGAGCGACTGCTTCTGATGCCGATATGCGGTAATCTCCATATTTGGTGACGTAGTCTTGGAATAGTTGAGCTTCGTTGGCGTCGGATTCTTGTAGTATTGCCCATTCGTCATGTAAAAACGTGATGCGGTTGTATGCTCTGAGAAGATTGGATTTGGTGCTTTGAAGTTCAAATCGTAGCGATTCCAACTGATCATTGTCCAGTTGCGTGAATTCGGAATTCTTGGCGTCGACGCTGTAGTCTGTCAGTGTTTGGGCGATTGATGAGCAGTATCTCTGAATCTGCTTCTTGAGGAATCCAATCTGTCGACGGATTTTGGCACTGTCCGACATCGCAGTTATTGCGTGTGATATGGAGTCGTAGAAGTCCGAGTTGATGTATTATAGTGGCTAGATGGCTTGTGGCGGTGTTGACTGGTGATTGGGATGATGGGGGGAGGGATGGGAGTTGGGCGACTGGTATGAGGAGGGGGAAGGGTTGGACAACTGGTATGAGGAGGCTGGATGGGCAGAAGCCGCAGTAGGGATTTGGTCCTTGTCGATACAGGGGGTGATGAGGGTATCGGAGGGTTGGGCGGTAGCCGTAGTGAAGATGGCGGATTGGGGTCGGGGTCACTCGAAGTGGTCCGTTGTCGTTTTAGCTGCCGTGGTCGCCACTGTTTTGAAGTTGGCCGGAGACGATGCTTGGAAGCTTTATTTCACCAGTGCCTATGAACTAGTAGCGACAGACTTTTATAGCGACAGAATTCTGACAAGAAAAACATTTTTCCAATATTCAAGGCAATTTCGAGCTTCGAGGGAAAATATCACTTGACTCACCCGGGAATTAATCAGCTAAGGAATTTCGAGATGAAGAATGAATCCCCAAAAAGATGATTCAGAGAAACTTGAGTCAAGCAAGGCATTTCTATATTGATATTTGAGTAAGATTTCTGTAGCGATACAAAACGATACAGAAAGACTCCCAACAGCAGAAAACTCAGTGCGATTTGTCATGGTGTATTCTAGGACAAAATCGATGGAGAAGGCTAACCAGTAGTATAACAGGGATAAGAAAGAGAAGAAGTTCCCAAAGAGTGAAGAACGAGGTGA